TATCTGAAGCACCCAGAAGGCCTTAGAAAGTTATTTCTAAGGTTAAACCCAGGTAGTGTGGGAGTGTTAGAGTAGAGCAGTCTTTAGAGGACTCCAAGTTACTTACTGTCCACAGTGGGAGATGGGAGAAAGGGTGGTCACCAGACAAAATAGTGACCTTTGATGGAAGACATCACCTATGATTGGTAGACAGACAGCCTGTCATTGAGCTGAGAGTTATGGTGCAGTGCTATTTGTTTATCAAAGCTGTATATGTAAGTTGTCCCACTAGCAGGGCACAGAACTTTCAGTGTAGGGAGGCAACTAGCCACCAAGCTCAGACTCAGGAGTTAGATGATGTATCATTGGTAGATGTCACAGTAGGCACTCACTGATAAGAATGTGATCAGTTGGAAGCTTATCTTGAAAGAAAAGTTACCAGCTGCCCTGAGGGGAAGGAGAGAGAGAGGTGCTGTTGGAGAATGAAATCTGTCAATTCAAGATTTAGCATCAGACAGAAACACAGTAGGCACTGTGGAAAGAAAACCCTGGTCTGCGGGGCAGCAGAGACCATCTCCAGGATGGAAGGTGAGTTTCCATGGGTTTTACAGGACAGGTAAGATGGATCCAGCATCTCATCACTTGGCAACTCCAGAGGATGGGGTTGATGCACAGGGCTTCTGGAACCTGCCTGCCCAATGGATCCTTCCTCATACTGGACTATCCAGTCCAAGGTGGATCGTGGATTTGCCAGGGCAAGACCTGAATTGAGGCTGCATGTTTCTGGAGCCAAGGACAAGCAGATCTCTTTTCCAAACATACAAAGGGGCAGCCAATGAAGACCTGGTTCACTTACTATGAAGGATCTGTCATGTAATTGCATGGAAATGATGGTTTCAAAAATTGGCAATGCAATGTCTAATCCAAGCCTAGACAGTTTTTCTTTCAATACAGTTGAGTACCTAAGAGAGGCACAGCTAGCTAAATGGGACAGAGTTGTTATCAAGCTGCAGCACCATTTTTACCCAGTGGAGAACCAAGCCATCCACTAACTTGAGTTTAAGGCTCATAAGAAGGGCCCCACAAAGAGTATTCCTTAATGGATGATATGTGCCAGTTGCATGGGAAATCCTACCTCACAATGGTGGATTGGAAGGTTATCCTAGTCAATAAGTATATCTAGAAACTTCCAAATCAGGTAATGACAACAAAGATAATGGTAGCAGATCTTGGTTCTGGGGTTAGTATACTGAGAATGGAGGTACTGCAGAACCTTCCAGCTATCTTCATATATGCAATACGTGAACTGAGTTTTGGTGGAAAAACCATCCCATGCCAGCCTGAGCTACCTAAGTGGACAGCTCGTCTTTCTGATGTAGGAAATTATAGCGTCCCCATTCATGCAAGTGGTGTCCTGTGGTTTAGTATGAACCTGATCAAATGTGTCAGTGCCATGTCAAGCAGCAGTCAAGCCAATGCAGACCCACTGTTTCCTGTCAAACAAGCAGCCAACAGTAGCTTGGATAGTGATATGTCCATCAATAGATGCAGTTCTGATACTGCTTTGCAACTATGGACCACTGGCACTCCAATTTCCTGCTGGAATGGTCACTGGAGCAGTAAGAGAAAGTGGCAGTGACTTATATCAGTTATAGTGCCAATGTTGCTGCTATTGTACATCTGAGAACACTAGTTAATGATTGCAGGAGCAATCTAGATAAATTTCAGAAGTTATGTCCCAATAGTTTTCTGACTAAGTGTGCTAATGTATTTGATGTAGCAGTGCCAAGATAACTCAGAAGTTGAAAGATGGGTTTATTCAGCCTTTAGTGAGTGTGTGGTTCTCTCCACTTGTGATTGAAACAAAGATGGCACTAACAGTTTTTGTGTCAATTTCTGCAGGTGAGCACCATGATGTGTTGATGCCTTTCCATTCCTATAAAGAGATGAATGCCTAGATATGTTGGAAGGTGCCCAGTTGTGACTTAGTACATTAGATCCAGTCTCCAGATACCGGCAAGTTGAATTAGATTATTACAGCAAGATAAAAACTACTTTTAGCCCTAGAGATTGGTTGTTTGAATACAGAATTATGCCACATGGCTTGTGTAATTTGAGAGGCTGATGGAGCTTACACTCAAAGGGATACAATGGGAGAGATTCCTGGTATATGTGAATGATGCCTTGGCCTAAACATTCAAATCTGCTGTTACAAACCCATGCATGGTATTCCAATGGAAACAAGTGTAAGAATTAAAATTAAAGCCTGGAAAATGTGTGCCCATGCCAGTAGAATTTCTTGGTCATATTGTGAGTAGAGGAGGCACCTCTATGGACCATGTGAAAACCACAATTGTATGGGATGGACCCCAACCCATGATGAGATGAGAAATTCAGTTTCCTTGGGTTAGCATCATATTATTGATGTTTGTTGCCAATGTTTTCAAGACTGCTGTGCCTATGTCTGCTCTCACTAAGGCTGATACACATTTCAGATGGATCAAGGAGTGTGAGCACACATTCCAAGCACTGAAGCATGCTTTAGTGGAATCCCCAATGCTGGCATAACTGTGGAAGAATTTCAAGCTCCTGTTAGATTATGATGCAAGCAGTAGTGGAATCAGAGCAGTGCTGTCGCAGGTACATAATGGAAATGAACATGATTGTGTCCATGAGTTATATTCTGACAGATCCTGAACATTGATATTGCACAATAAAGAATGAGATGCTTACAGCTGTAGCATTCATGAAACATTACTAACACTATGCGTATGAAAGTTCACTCTCCGAGGGGAAAATATTTTGTTGAAATGGCTCAAATACTATAAAAATCCAGATGGTATGACTGCATGTTCGATCATGATATTGCAAGAGTACATGTTCATATTTTACTGTCTGGGAGTGCAGATTGAAAATGCAGACAAACTATTTTGCTGCACAGTGAGACCATTTCTGTTCATCAAATGGCCTGATATAAGAAAATATGCCGAGATGAAATCCATTTCAGTTTTACCACCACAGACCTGTATTAATGATGAATTCACAGATGGATACAGAAACTTACCCTGCAGGAGCTCCAAGACGAGCAACTGCAAGACACAGACCTAGCCTGGATACTCCTTGTGCAGTCAGAGAGTGCATGGCTAGTACTGATTGAGGAACTGAGTGTGAATTCATAGATTCTGTGACACACATATAAGCTGTTACAGGCAGACAGTGACATGTTATGCCAATTTTATTAACCACTGAGACATGTATGGCAGCTAGTGGTATCCCAACCTCTGCAGAAGCAGATTCTCCAGACCCTGCATAATGCATGTACTGAAGGTCAAAGTGTTACTCTAACAAGTGTCAATTTCTGATATTGTTTCTGTCATAAATGTTGTTATATGGTTCAATTTCCACATACTGCATGTAGCTAAATAGATCAATGAAGGTCAAATTCAAATACAAAAACTTATATATAGTATTCTTTCAAAGATAAATTAAACAATGTATTTTATTATATTTTCTGATTATCTAAAATACACAGAAGCTCTAAAGGCATCTTCAAAGGCAGCAGCTGCTTAATTCAACAACAATATTTTAAAAATGGTATGAAAATAGCTGCATGTAGTAAAATTAAACTTGTTTTTTTCATATTATGGCAAAACTCTAAATACATATTCAACAGAACTACACAAAATAACTGGCTTCTTAGCTACCAATTCCAAGTTAATCTAATATAGTTTTCATAAAAAACATACACATTTGGTTTCTAGCTTTGCTTTTCAAAGTTTCTTTATATTCAAGGTTCTATTGTAAGAAAATGTGTACAATTAGATAATTGATCCCATTAGAGTTCTTCAGAAGATAATAAACAATTTAAATATAATTGTATATGGTCTTTCCATTAACAGATTACTTTCTCTTTTATAATAACTTTCTCTAATCATAATAGTCATGTTGGAATTAGGTATGGGATAAAATAAATTTTATTTTATGAAGCTAAATATTTATTATATATTTAATTAACAGGGCTAAAAAAATTATGAAAAGTATTAATTTAAAATACTTTGAAATTTAGGTAAAATAAAAAAATATTTTGGTTTCACATACTTTTGCTGATAGTCTTGTTTTTTAGTAACATTAAAGTTTGCTCAGGTAACTCTGGTACAAACCTATTAACATTAAAAATTATATTATAATTATAAATACCAATTTCAGACACCATGTTAAAGCCTAAAGAAGTGTCTTTTGTTTCAACTTTTAATATTTTCATTTATTAATTAGTAGGGAATATAATTCAAGGGTAGAATCATTTCAAAGGTATTAAATGAGAAATAGCAAGGCATATTTTAGTTTAAAAAACACCATATCTACTAGATACACAGTTTTCATTTAACGCTTACCAAGAATATTCACAGATTTTTTGTCTTAAAATAATAATCTTGTATGAGCAAGTGCAAAACTGGAAGCTGCAATTTCAAGAGTTTTGTTGGCTACAACTATTTCCTGAGCAACTATTATACTTTAAATTTTGAGCACCTGAACAACTTCCAAGTAAGATACAACATAACAATTTTACAAAGAATACACCCACATTCATTAATTTCCCTGAATAAAAATAGTAAAATTTCAAGAGATTACCTTTTAATTAAAAAAATGTAAGAATCAAGATAAGAACATTTTTAGGGCTTACATTTTAGTTCTTAATACTGCACAGACAAATGGTTAAACTCTTGAATTCATCAACTTAATATTCTTTCTTCATTAATGAGATGAAAACCCAACATTGTTACTCTGTGTTGCCTATTACATACATAATGAAAATAAATATCATGCTTTAAATGTAATCAAAATTCAAATAATTTTTGGCTAAGGAACATCATAGAAATTCATGATGATAAAAACATTAATAGAAAACGACTACTGTGAAACCCACAGTACCAGGTGAGATTATTATTTGTTAATTTATCATCCCTGCTGTAGTGTTAATCTTATGTGTATATAATGAATATATCAAACATGGTGACAAATTTTCAGTAGACATGCATAATTACCATTTTTTCACAGCAAAAAAGTTTCTTTTTTGTTGAAGTGATTTACAGAATATTGCTTTAGTATTTTTTTTGACCACCAAATATTAAACATGCCTCATTTTATTTCTTAACTTTCAGATATAAAAAAAATAAAATTATAATTATCAACATAAGTTTAAAAAGCAGTCAAGAAAACTTGATATACACATACTGTGAAAGGATTCTATTCTAGATATTTGACTGCTATACTGTTTGATCTCATAAGCTAATTCTTAAGGTGTGAATTATAACATTATAAAAATGCAAATATACTCAAACTTACAAATCAAACTATTAAGTACATTAAAAGATAAACATAAATTTTTAAATGCAAAATAAAATCTTATTTTTAAGTTGACCATATTACAAAACCAGATATGGTATTTATATCTTACAGGTTTTAAACCACTTGATATAAAAACAACAACAAAAAAACATACCTTAAATTTATATTATGCAACTAATTAATCATCTACCACATTTTCTTTTCCTGTATAATTCTAACCACACCATAAGCTTTCTAAACATGATTGTCCAAAATATTTTTTGTTTCTAAATATTTATGACCCCAGTGCTATTTAAAGATGGCCTTATCTCTACATTTTTTACATTTTTATTGATTTTCAAGCATTTGGCTTTGCCATTACACTCTGACTAATATGTGTTAGGTACAAATCTTTTAATTATAAAGGGGTTTCAAGTAGAACTTCCGATGCTTTATGGAGCAATATATTCTCTTTTTTATCCTTCCATAATATCATTAGAACCTGTTTTAAGACTATTATTAAGCTAAGTATAAAACCTGTTGATCTAGAAACTGTTCCTGTTTCTTTAAAAAGTCCAATTCTTAATATATTAATATTATTTTCCAAATAGTAAAATTAAACTTTTGATTCAGTCAATTATACTTTCCTTTTTGAGAGTAAAAAGATATAGTTAAAATTTATTTACGAGAGGAAAATATATGATCAGTGTTTTGACCAAACAACCTTCATTAGGATCTTACAACACTTTCAAACATGTTTTTGTGCTTTGAAATTTTATTAAAGTCAATGAAGCATTTATTTATTTGCATTACTTCTATATTGTTTTTAATTCCATTTAAAATTAGTGAAAAATCGTGACCAATTGCTTTGCAGTCTTGGCAATGTCATAAGCACACTGAATGACCTGTTGAGTTACAAATCGATAATCTATTGATGGCTGATTCTGACACAAAAGTGTGTTACATTCTCTCTGTAATCGTGATGCACTTCCTGTTAACTGTTTCAATATGGACCTAATGTGATCCTCTTGTATGCCCTGAAAAATTGAAAATTATTATTCTTCTTGATTTATATTAAGTTTAAAAATCAAGAGAATGACTTCTTTGAAATATACAACACCATGTAAAACATCAAATTTAGGATTTCTTTAATGTTACAGACATGTTTCACTTGTGAATGAGAAAAATACTCAAGATTAAAACAAATTAAATGTTGTTCCTATAAAATATCCTACAAATATACTTATTTGCAATAAATAGTTTCATAACAGTCTTCTGCTTTAGTGTTGCTTATTTACATGTACTTTTACACTAATTATGTTTGAATAGTATTGTAAATGTATCAAAGGCAAAATTACAATATATATATAGATTTACATATAAACTTCAATTTAAAAGTATGTTAAACACCATTTATTGTATGTACATTTTAACTGCTGAATAAAAACATCTGTAGATTTTGGTATTTACAATAAATGTTTCAGAAAAGGATTTTTACATAAAATTGTGATAAAACTTAAGTAATGTATATCAACAACAATAAAAAAGCTATCTTAAATATTTTAAAAGACTAGTAATGCATGCTAATTTTAACACATTATTTTGAATAAAAACCATTCCTTTCATCATGAAGAAAAACTAAATATAATCCAAATATACAAAGAAATAAAGAAACATAAAAAAAATTACAATCTTATGGTCTATTAGTTTAATAACATGCGAGTAAGCATCATTATAGTCAGTTAGTACCTTTAAGTACAAGTTCCTTTAATAACAGATGAATCAGAACTTTTTGCCAAAGCATACACAAATAGTTGCAGCAACTTTTTAATACCTATAGCCCATTACTAATAAGATATTTAATTTAATATAAGTGCTAATCATCCCAGTCAGCAATGACAATAATAATTACAAACCATTTAAAATGTAAAACATATCAGAGAATGTAAAGCTTTTAAAGCATATAATCTGGATAAAATATGTAAACTTCTGATGGTTTCCCACCACTGAAGTCTTTGCAGATCAATTACAAACTTGCCATAATTATAACAAAATTTGACAAAACGTTATTTACACACATTTATGACTAGAAACGTGCAATGGGCCAACTTAGAATCCTGTGTTTTAAAACAAAGACTTCTAATGAGATTTTACATAGTACCATGAAACATAAAGGTTTGTTTCGCAAGCTTTGAGTTTCCTATACAGATACATTTTAAATTAGAGGCTTTTTTAATTTATTATCCCAGGTTGTTTAAGCAAAAATTAAAATTTACAAACTCTCTCAGCAACTATTAATAACCTGATTCAAAAAGAAATAAAAAAAAATTTTAAAATTTTAAAGCAATGAATATATTTGTTCATATTTTTTATGCACCTTGTTTATTGTAATTTTTAATAAAATTTCTTAGAAAATGTTATGATTTTTGCACATTATGATATGAAAAAACATTTATTTCACAAACAAAAACTATATTCCTAGACAATATAGTAAAGAAGATAATATCTTACTTGAGGAAACACATTTGCAATTTCAGTAACAGCCTTCAATATTTTTTCAGAGCAAGGTATGAAACTGTAAAATGGAAAGAAAAATCAAACGTGAAATTTTTTCAAAGAAATGTATGAACCTGTAGAGTAGGAAGAAAACATTTTCCATAGGTATGAAACTGTATAGAAGGAAGAAAAAATTAAAGAAGTGAGAATGCAAAAAAGAAAAAAAAAGTGATTTATCAAAACATCATTTAGACTAAACAAACTTAAAGGGAAAAATACTCATGTTTAATTAGAAAGAAGAAAATATTTCAAAAATTAAAAACATATTTATATTTTATTTTACTAAAAAATATCATCAGTGATGACAAATGTTAATGAAATGTTTGACTACATGAATCCATTCATATATATATATTCTCAGTAAAGTAATTAATAGCATGAATTGTCGTAAAAGACAAACAGTGACTTGTACCTCTCTTTTAACATTACTTTCATTTTTTCCAAAAAGCAAACCACTACTAATGAAAAAATATTAATAGTGAATGTGTATATAATTATACAGCTATTAACACACACAATACTACCATATGTGGTTAACTGAAGAGTTACTGTATACTTTCAAAACTCCAACTAATACTACATGAATTTGAAGCATTTTTAGAAACATTGCTCAGACATAAGCAGGTGACTTGCATTATTTCCCTAAAAGGGGACCAAAGGCTGCTTGGAGGGTTACCTGTTTTAAACACTTTGCACCACTATACAGTAGTGTGTTGTCTGTCAGTCAGTCAGTATACACTAAAATGATGTTACATAAGGGATGCTTAATGTTACAATTTGTACTGCCATGACATCAGTAATGCCATGGATCACGAGAAGAATTATGCACTTTGTAGACTACAGCACAGCATGACACATGAACTTCAAAATCAAGAATGAAAAATATTTGCTACTCTTAATTTTGGTTTTATTTACTCTTGAAACAGAACACTTTTGAGGACCCTGCAGAAGTATATCTAGCTTTTTCGAATGCCAAGAAAGTGAATGAATACAAGGTGAAAGTAACTATTTAAGTATATATGTTGGTTGTCTAGCAAAAGCACCTAAGCATGGTTTTATGTACATGTTCAAGCATATGCTACACTTTTTGAAAAAATAAATAATGCAAAAACAAAGCAACTGAAATATTTTCAGAATTTTCTTCAAAACTTCAATATTTTATTTGCACATTAATTGAAAAAATCTTGCTACAGAAAAAATATGAAAATGATACCAATTTTATAAATATTTTCAAATTAATAAGTCTGTGGAGAGAGAGAGAGAGAAAAAGATTCAATATGGCTGCATATTTCCTGGAACTCAGCTGTGAAATATTAAAGAAACTTAAAACATGACGTGCAGTAAACTTCATGGGAAAAGCGATGCTATCCTTGGCAGTATAGCTTGATAAAAAGAAATGAAATTTATATATTCATCTGATTGTAAAATCTATGGGAAAAAAAAACTACTCACTTTTCATGTTTTTTCTCCTGGGCAGAAATAAGGAGTTCCTGAATTTTCTTTGTGATCTGTTCTGTTTTGCGGTCTATTTCTTCTCGAGATGGCAGCTTAGATTTGCTGTTTGCAGTTGGATGTTTAGACTGTGTCATTTCGTTTGACATTGGTGGGGACTCGGATGTGGGACTCAATGAATTACTTCGACTCTGATGTGAACTGCTGCTGAAACACAAAAAGGAATAGTACACAATTTAAAGACTGATAGCATAATTACCCCTAGTAAACTTTAAATACATATTAAAAATGTTTTGAAACAAAAATTAAGGTATGTATTCTATATTCAACACACACAAATTTTAGTAAAAAATTGTAAGCTATTTTCTTTTGTAGTTTCTTTTGTTCATATAACATAACTTATACACTAACAACATAAACATTTGTTCATATAACATAACTTAAACACTAAAAACAAACATATGTTCATATAACATAACTTAAACACTAAAAACAAACATTTGTTCATATAACATGACTTAAACACTAACAACATAAACATTTGTTCATATAATATAACAACTTAAACACAGCATAAACATCTGTTCATATAATATAACAACTTCAACACAAACAATATAAACATTTTTTCATATAATATAACAGATTAACCACTAAACATAAACAGTTGTTTCTTTTTTTTAACTACTACTGGCATTTGTCAAATTTCCTCTTCAAGCTATTTGAATGATGACTATACAATGATTATGAAAAAAATAAAAGTCTAACCAATACCTCTGATGTCAATTATTTGAATTTTCATTGCACAATAATTGATACAAATTATTAAATGTATCAGTAACAAAAAAGACATGTTACACCCAAATACTTGAAACTGTTTGCAGCAAACACGTGATGAAACAAACCAAGGATTATTCTATATCAATTACAAAATACACCATCAAAATTTGTGAATATAAAAAAGTGATTCAATGTACAAACTGTTAATAAACAGGATTTACTCTCTCTCTATGAGGTCAGCATCTTCACAGTCTAGCAGGCATTTAGTAAGCATTACAAGTCTTTTGTACACAAAAATTAGATTTTTTAATGAAGTATGTTTTACTAAAGATTTAGCTGTGAATATTTTTAGTATTTCTGTATACTAAACCGAGTGCTAAGATATTTCCATGTTAAGATTAAAATACTTTTCTTCAACTCAAAAATCTCAAATTTATTTTGTATAATCTCTAAAACCTCCAAAATCAATTTTAAGCATGTTTTTTCAGTACAACTTTCAGTTTTATCTGTTTTTTTCTCTACCCTAACTTTATACAAGGTTGGCCAATTTGACTGACGTCATAATCACCATAAAAAAATCTAAATTACCCTTTCTTTCTAGAATGACTTCAAATTGTAATACTAAACTACATTTGGTTATCCCAAGTAACTTTAAACTCATAACAGTATAAGTCTATTGATACTTAAATTTTATTGTTTTATTGCCTTTTGAACTCTGTCTAACTACTATTTGTGCCATTATAAGTTGTAAATCACTTGGTGAACACGCAGCTCACATAACGCTATTGAATTACATTATGCATGAGCTACTCGCGAGCGTACATCATGAAAAAACGTTATAATATTATTATTACTTATTTCATGTAATCTAACCCCAAATAACAATAAAAGTTTCCCATTTTTACATCTTAGCTACATTTATATTAATAAATAAAGAATAGATATGAAAAACAAAAAAATATTTATTAGGGTTTTTTTTTGCCGTTGACTGTCGATGACACTTAACCCTACTTTTTTTTATTTAAGCAACTAATGCACCAAAGAACACAGGATAATAATGTGCAAAAAGCAGACAATGTCCCACAACTATCACAAATTATATGGCTTTCTCATTATGCGATAAGAGCCATTAAATTTTCACCTAATCTCATCGATGTGTTTCCCACGAAAAATCAAGCTTGAACTGAAAGCAAAACTGACAATTATTTTTATAGAAACAATGTAGTATAATACTCATTTGATAGGTGAAAACCTTGGCTATCCATTGGTTATAAATACTATAGTGTTGAGCATCAGAGAGAACTATTGGAAATTTGTGAAATAGAGGATGTGGCAGGTGGGCGTGGCAAAAGGGGTCTGGTTGTCTATTTTATGACTCTGTAACCAAATAAGATTGAAGGCTATGAAAATTATATGCTTTGACGATATTATAATAAATAATTTACATTAAATTTTGTACTTCTTGGAGAGGTGGTAAATAAATTAGAGAAGACAGGATGCTTAGAGAGCAAATGCCACAATTCTCATACTAGGGGAATTTTAGAAAAATTTTGTTTAAATATTGCCTTATAAAAGTAAGAACTTAAAACATATACTATTAAAATATGGATTATTAGCTACTTTTTTATGCTATATCTATTGGTATACCATGAAAAGAAATTAGTTTAAATTTTGAATGTAACTCACTAAAACCTCATGAAATATCTGTGGAGAGAGGGTTAATAAAATAATACATTTAATATGATACAAAGCTGATAATTATCATATTTATTACATTTTATAAATGTTTTAACTTCAAAATCACAAAAGTTCATTTCTTATCAGGGCAGCTTTTAGAATTAGAAAAGTTTGATGTTTTTAGGCCATGGTGTAAACTGACCTTCATGTGGTAAGTTGGGAGGATGACAACATATTTGAGACATTTCTCTGCTCTTATTTGACACTCCACATGGGTATGAAACATCAGCAATGGTAGAACAAAAATAGGAAAGAGTAGACTACTATTAAAGTTATATCCCTATATCTATTGGTAACTCATATTTTATGTTAAAATTAAATTATCATGTTATCTCTTGATAGACATTTTTTTGTCAATATGGTAGGGAAAGTTAAGTGTGTGGGAAAATTTGAAAGATGTAAACAAATATTACGAAGAAATAAAGAAATGCTCATTATTTAAAATGAGGAAAACTTATTGCAATTGATAGTTAGTATGTATATTACAAATAAACTAAAACTGGGAATGATGTCACTTTGTTAGCTTTATCGAGTACAAATAGTGAGTGCATTATATGTGTATACATGAAGATGTTCTTTACACAGCAGCAGCAGAACAGCCACTTTATATCAAACTTGCTGCTTGAAGCTTTGTGGTTAGCAACCTCTAAGATTTACAATACAAAAACATAAAACACACAGTTATAAGAACCAGATGTTACCAATGCTACAATACAGGTCGTAAGAAAATAACAATTCATAATTAAATACAAACACCCACTAAATCAAACTTCTCAAACTGCACTATAAAAACACATCCCTCACAAGATATAAACATTTGCTATTAAAACTTACCTACTAAAACTGACTGAAGTATTGTCATAATCTCCACTATTTCTTGAAGAGTGACCAGACTGTACATTACCCTAAAATAGAAATATTAATAAAGTACTTCTCTTTCAAAATGAAATTCTACACTTGGATTACAAAGAATTTGGAAGCAATAACATTAAATGAAAAATGTTAATTTTTAATATTCTAAAATTTACTAAGTTCCCATAGTGTATATAGACTGAGAATTTTTACAAACAAGTAACACTTACTCTCATGTTAAATCTTTAAAGCATTAAAGTTAAATCGTTTAAAAACCTTTTAGGTAAATTAGTGTATGGACCTTCATATTTTAAAACTTTATTTGCACTAGCATAACTTCTGTATTTTTGACAAAAGACTGTAAACAAATATCAGGAATAAATCAATTTAAGCTTTTGGAAAAAAAAACTGATGTGCTATATACATGCGTTTGTGTTCAATGGTAACAGATACAAGTCTTCCAATCACAACTTACAATTCCACTGTCATCTCGAGGTAGAGCATTACTTCTCCTCTGATCAGAAATAGATGTAGCTTCCCAACAGCAAGATAAGTGTTGATCTTGTTGAACATGCTGCCTTTCTCGTGGCTCATACATGGACTGAGGTCTCTGATTTCCTCGAGGTTGGCGGAGAGCAACACCTTCTTCTAGTTTATCTGGAGTTGTTTGCTGTCCAGTGGCTGGATGATGATGACCAGCAGGTGGTTCAAAACCATTTGGCACATGTTGGGGGATAGGATGACTGCTTGAAGAATTATACTGGATGGTTGATCTCAAGTTAGAGTTCTCTTGCATCAATTTTTGAACCTGAAACAGTAAAACAAATTCTTATATATGCAAGTTATAAATACTGTTTGTATTACCATGGGCATCTACTCATCCAATATAACAGATTTGTTGTAATCAGATGACACAGGTAAAAAAAATGAAAACACACACATACTAGAACTTTGGTTATTAATACTCCACAAAAAAATTAGGTAAACAATTATTTTATGTTGAACATAAAGGAATTTGATGCTGTAATACACAGAAAATTGTAAAAAGTTAACTCAAGTGGTATCAATATCAAAAAGCTAATTAATCAGATTCCCTATATTTAATCAACTAATGTAAACTTATTTTCAAATGAAAATAATTATTTTATAACCCTTCCATTACAGGCTGGGTGGAATCCATCCAGTTCGTAACCACAAAAGTATCCATGAGAGTAATAACACTGTGATTTTTGATAATGTATGCAAATCTTTACAAAATTTTGTAGGTTATTGATAAACATTACAAGGTTTATTACACAAAATATCAGGTTTTTGAATTAAGTATTAAGAATTTCTTGTAAACTATTTTCTCTCAGAACGTTGACTATCCAACATGCAAAGCCATTTTGACTTTAAGATTAAAAATACTTTAATGCATTAGAACATTTTCAAATTTCACCTGCAAAATCATTATAATCTCCAGATAATTATTAAATTAAAAAAAAACTTTATATTTTATTTGTTATTTTAACTACTGCATTTCTGTATGGGTTGGTTTGATTTGACTGACTTCATAACCTCAATAAAAAATATAAATTGTGCTTTTTTCGTTCTAGAATGACTACAAATTATAACATGAAAACACAAGTGTTTAGACTAAATAGCTTAAATCTCTTAACATTATACATTTATATATATTTATTATTTGTATTATATTTACCTTTCAGCTGTGCCTGGCTAACAATACAGAAGTTACAATGACACAGCACACATATCACTGTATCCAGTAATATATAAATGGCCTTTAGTCTTTACAAAGTGACCTGTCTTGGCTGTATTTTAGTGGTCTAGTATTTTATAAAATACAGTCACATTTCAATTATTATACATTATATATATATATACACACACACACACACACACATTATTTCTATTTACAAACAAGTTCTTAAACTTATTTTTCTTAAAATATAGAACAGTAAATAAAAAAGTATTCTTATTATCTCCTTTTCTACTGTTAGCCTTACTCTAAAATATTAAATGTTAGGTCTATCACTTAATCGTCTGTCCACCTTCCAGAAATCTCTTATATTCACAACTTCAGTGAATTGCATGTGACGTTCGATAGTCTCAACATCAATGAATTATAAACACAACTTCCTACAATCGTCTGTTTTTAATTTTAACTCTTATTATAACAAAACTAACCAATAATAAAATATTCACTCACAAAATAAATTAATCAATAATATATATAAAATAAACAGTCTTTTATATCATGACAGTTTTCTTCACTATCATCTTAAAAAAAACTGCTTTGCTAGATATGTAATTACACATTTAAACCTTTAATGTATACATTTTTACCATATTCTGTAAGAGGTTGATTTCCTTCCTCATGTCTTTGTTACTTTGAACAAGCTGGTTAATTCGAGCCTCGGATGTTGCCAGCTGCTTCTTAACCTCTAAGTATTCTTCAAGTGTAATAGGTCCATCTGACTGATCTGAAGATGCAAAACTCTGTAACAGTGCAAAAGTTATTTAAGTCTCCTTCTTCTTCATAAACTACACAAAAATTATATAAATTCATTTATACAATACTCTAAGAAAAAAAATTACAATGTAAAATGCAAAATGTTAAAAGCAAAATCATCCAAGTCGTTTAACTGTGAGACATACTCCCAAGGGGGCATGAGGAGTTGGTAGGGTGGATGCACAAACTATGACCATAGAAGCATATGAAAGTAAAAATTTAAAAATAAAGTTTTCAAAATACCATACAAATAATACTACTATTAAGTAATATAGTAGCAACAATTAACATGGGTGAATGACGTGTACAGTATATATACAAATAGGTTATACAGGGTGAAGAAAGTGCAAGAAAACACAATCAGTAAGAGGGCACCATAAAAAAGCTTTGTACACTACTGAGCTAACTTCAAGAACAATTAAACAGTACATTGTTTCTATAACTCAAATGAACAGTGTATATTTAAGTAATTTTGTTTACAAGTTTCATTAAACTTTTAAAAATATTTAAAGTCTTCCTCAATAACACAGAATTAATTTAGTGCTTTCATGTACTGCTCTACTATAAGTTATTGTGAAAGGTTTGTTTTTTTAGTGCAAAGCTGCATTATAGGCTCTCTGTGCTGCATCCACAGAAGGAACCAAACCTCATACTCTAGTGTTATAAGCCTTGAAAGCTTGACATTTTTCAAGGTGGGTAAGAGCTTCAGGCATCAAAAGCACGTAAGATCTTTTCACATAAGAAATAATGAATTTCCAGTATATTTTTAGGAAATTTTAACTATTATTCATAATTTTACATTTATAAATATTTATTACTGGTTAAAAACATAACCATTTAAAGTCCTTTTAAGTTAATCTAATCACTAATATCTATAGTATGTAAAGTAGAAGATTAACTCAAGACTATCAGACTCAGAAATCTACGATTGGTTTGATTACTGTACAACAGACACTAATTACTGTTCAGAATTACTGAAAAATAAATGTCAGTATGACAACATATTACCTCTCACATTCAGTCAATCATAATCATTCTGAGCTTCATGTCAGTTAACCCTTACATTTCCAAATTGTTTGTTTAATACCATTCACTTAGAGTGGAGGTCCACATACTATATCGTATAGAGCAATGTTTTTACAATTTTTCCTCTTACAAAACTCAGTGTAAAGAAGTGACCCAAAAATAGATAAAATAATTCATTTCCTACATAAAGTAAATATGAGACCCAAGCAGCACTGAATGGAAGTAAATAAAATACTGATGATATTTTTCTTTGTTATTAGGTGCCTTGTAACCAACAAATAGTTAAGAAAAAAGTTTGTTTCACTAAAAAAAAGAAGTTACCAAAAAATGTATGCAGTTGCAAATAAAAAGTATATTAATGTCAAGAACCTTGGCACATATAAAAAAGTGAAATATCATAATTAAAATTATACTGAATATTTTCAAAAGAAGTCTACATTAAACAAAACTTAAAAAAAAAGTTTAATAAATTTGAGTGGAGTAGTTTATGTATAGTTACACATTTGATTAAATGCAGTTCCATGACCTCTACAGGTGTGCACAAACACTATTCACTATCATAAGTGTCACTGGTAGTTGAGATTATGTCATTTTGATTTAGAAATTAACTTCAAATGATAATTCTCTCAGCTAATTAAAATTCTTAATATGAAATTAAAAAAAGCTAGAAGTAAGATAAACTTGTAATTAGTTCCATGAAAACAAAGATACATCGTAACTCTTATAACTAAGAATAATGAACAGTTGAAGAACATTGGAGAAATTTTTTAGTGCTTCTTCCGGTCTTTTAATAAAGCTGAGAATAACCAAATACAAATCTGAAAAATATAAATTAATTTAATTTTATGATTCATAAGCTTTAAGGATAAGTTTAAACAAGCATTTTATTACCCTTAAAAACATTAGAAGAATGAATATAATTATTTCACAACAAAGCTGTAAAGTCTGTTAACTTTATTTGCCATTAGCCTACAAAAAGCACGACTGGCCGAATGTAGCACAAAAACATTATTTTTATTCCTTTTGCTTAATTATCTTAATCTGGTGGGAAATGAACCAATTATAAAGATCAACAAACAATATCTTTCATTAAAAGAATATTCCATAACCATGTAAATATTCATTAAATTAGAGGGACAGAGATTATTCACACTAATACAAAACACATTTTGCAAGGTGATTTTCAGCTATGATTGATTGTATAAATTACTGGAAAGAACAATGCATAAACCTAAAAAATCAAAAGGAAAACACAACATCAATAGAGCCAAGCAATTAACTTGATTATCTATGATCATCATTTACATCAATTAGTTTCAGGTAAAATAACCGATTAATGTCATGAAAATAATAATCAACTTATCAAAATTAGTATTTCAGATTATTACTATTTTTACTTTTTCCAACTATCTATTACTACTTCTGTTGGTATGAGTGAGCATGACAAATTTGGCCTGTAAGACACTTCTCCGACTAATGACCGTCAATTAATTAATCATGTGAAACACTGTGGAAGGACATTAAGATCTAGGTGTTGAAAGTGGGTAACAGAAAACACCCCTACTGCCACTACCTCTTCCTACAAAGTCAATCTGACCATTACACAGTGTGTACCAAGTTTTAAGTATAAACATATTGAGTTCTTAAAGCTTATACAAAACTTTTGGTGCGGTGATAATGAAAACTGTGATATGTTATGTTATAAATAAATTGTGTGAAAGTTAGGAGTTTTTTGTGTTATTTATCATAGCATCTACCCCCAAATTTTTTTAAAGTTCATAACCCGTACAACAGATAGGTACCTCAGCTCGTTCAATGTATTTTCAGAAGTATAAAGAATTTTCATCCACTTTTTAAAACCAAGACATTAACAATCAATTTCATCATACAACATAAATTATTAATATTTCAGTTTCAGGTTTTCTTCCCAAATTATGTGCACAACATTCTGTTAGTACAGAAACATCAATAGTAACTCTGCAGTGCCTTCTCTATTAGTTAAGATAGGTGTAATAACTTTTGGAAAAAAATGTTATTTATAATGAAATATATAACATGACCATACTTAGATTTTCAAATTCTCAAAGAAGCAAATTAAAAAAAATTATATGTCATAATACATTTCTTGAATTTTATCAAGCATGTTAAGTCCTTTTGGACTGAACTACATGCCCAGATGTTTGCCAATACAGAGAAAGGTTCTAATACCAGTATACTGGCAAAGAACAACATTACTTGAAGAATACCACTATAGCAAAATGAACCACATTACTTGAAGAACACCATTATAAGAAAAGGAACCCTATTACTTAAAAACACCACTATAACAACAAGAAATCACATTATTTAAAAACACCATTATAACAACAAGAAATCACATTACTTAAAAACACCATTATAAAAACAAGAAACCACATTACTCAAAAACACCATTATAAAAATAAGAAACCACATTACTTAAAAACACCATTATAAAAATAAGAAACCACATTACTTAAAAACACCATTATAAGAACATGAAATCACATTATTTAAAAACACCATTATAAGAACATGAAACCACATTATTTAAAAACACCACAATAACAACAAGAAACCACATTACTTAAAAACACCACAATAACAACAAGAAACCAGACTACTTAAAAACACCACAATAACAACAAGAAACCAGACTACTTAAAAACATCACTATAACAAAAACAAACAACATTACTTAAAACATCACTATAACAAAAAACCCAAATTACTTAAAAACACCACCAAAACAACAAAAAACCACATTACTTAAAAACACCACTATAACAACAATGAACCACATCAACTGAAAAAATAATTAGAACATCAAGGAACCACACTATTCTAAGAAGAGCTTTATCAGCAGAAAAAATTTGCAGCATCAGGTGATAATCACTCACAGTGAAGTAGTATGATATCAGATGTAAAGATATTTGATGAAATGTCAAACTGTTAGTATGCTTCATCCAGTTACAGATCACATTTTATTAGTAGTCTCTAATGCTCTTTAACTTTTCTTACCTCTGGTCTATCACGAATTAGGACTGCTTTCTTTCCACCTTTCTGAGAAACTGCTTCTCCCAGTTCGGAGACCTCAATATCATCTTTTATAAGCTCCGAGTTAACAGAATTGACAGGATTCATCTCCGAAGCAGCTTCACAATCTGTACTTACCGGCTCAGATACTGACTCTACTTGGGTAGAAGCTTCTTGTGCAGGGCCAATTACATGCTGGATGTCATGCAAAAGGAAGCAATATTTAGCTGCCCTTCATTTCAATCAGGCCAAGTAAAGACTTTTGAATAGTTGTATTTCTAAAGCCAGGTTAAAGAAATACTATCTCATGCTGGATAAAAAAAAAAAAGGCTAGCACTATTTATAATCATTCTGTAAAGTATCTTTACACAAAGATATTAACAAATAAACAAGCCATGAAATTCAACTAGTTTATTCAGTACATGCTTCTTTATAATCATGCAACAAGCATCCCAAACAACCCACATTTTAGATATATTTTACCAAACATAACCCAAAGTTATGGTGAAAAAACAATTGTCTAGATAGAACTCATTATCTGTTGATCAATGATTGTTTAAATTATAACATTCAGTTAATACTTATATTCTACATCTGGCCTTTATATGAAGGTTGTTCTTAACTATTAAAACAAAAATTTCATATTTTTCTTTTGCTTTAAGTTTAATTATTGAATTTATAATAAAACTGAAAACAAGTATATTATTCTACTAATTAACTTTTTTTCTAATTCTACATCAAATTTCAATACAAAACATTATTACAGTGGATCTGATGTAGACAAAGTTACTGTTGCTAGAAAAACTATATAAAATTTAATCACTGACCTCTGTGCTTGCCATTGCTTCCTGTTCCATGGATGACCTGTGGTTACCCTCCGTACTTTCATCATCAGAAGCTACACTGTCATACAAAGGTTCATCATCGCTCATGTTTCCTGTATCTTCAGACAAAGTACTATCTGTTTTTGTGTTTGTAGAAGACATGATTGGTCTCTGGTCAGGTGCTGAGAAGTAAAAGGAAAACAAAATGATAAAATAACAAAATCTGTAACTGAAACACAAAGGATTCTAAGAAAATCTTGAACTTCATGTTTAAAAAAAAAAGAACATTTATAAAGATACATGTTCCCACCCCAAAAAACTTACACATCCCCTGTTCAAGCCAGTCATCTAAAATGGTTTTCATTGTCCTAGATTGATAGCTTACTTCAATTACTATGAACTCTATCTGCACATGGTCACTACATTGGACTGAGCCCATATTGGAGAATTAATGTTTACTATAATTCTAAACTTACTAAGTGTATCTTCATAAAATTTGATAAGCTTTTAATAAATATTACAAGTATATTATAGATAAAAATTCAAAATTTTTAATAAAGCATTTTTACTAAGAATTTATCTCTGAATTTACTTTAATCAGTCTGAGTACAAGGTGATTTTCATATCCAGAATAAAACTATTTTTCATCTTATAGTTTCATATTTCATTTACTTACCCTCCAGAAACTCCTAAATGAATATCCACAGTAATACTTTATATTCTGTTATTTTCTCTACCCTAACACTACATAGGCTCAGTCCATTTTACCAACCTTGAAATACAAAATATATGTATATTACCCTGTCTTCTTTCTAGAATGACCTCAACTTGTAGCAGAAATTATAATTATTTATTATAGACAGCCTTAGGATTGTAACATTTATATCTATTTTCATTTAATTTTATTGTTTCATTACTCTTTAAACTGTGTTTAACTACTAAACCTGTGCAACAAAGCTATAAATTCATGAATTACACAGCAAGCATGAAGCTTAGATTTTTGTAAACAAACTATTGAATTACATAATGCATGAGGAGCTCATGAGAAATTTATTGAATTTGTTTACTTTATGTTTTCTTATCTAACCTATAAAGTTTCTAATTTTTACATTTTAATGACTTTTATAACATTACAAAAAAAATCTGGCCTTTGTTTTTTGCTCTTAACCCAGAAGAAACTTAATTCTACTTATTTTTGTAATAATGGAAGTAGTACATAAGATAATTATTTATTTATTTAGGAACTGTAATTAAGAACACATAATATTAACACACAAAAAATACAATGACCTGAAGATATTATAATTCAACTGGCTTTCTAAGTTATAATTGGTTTAAAATAATTCCCTCAGCTGATCGAGTTTACCTCGACGATAACAACACCAAATCTGTAGGCCAGGTAATTCAAAATCTGTCATGAGAATGAGTTAGCATTATACAGAAATTAGTAAATTGAAATATTCTCTTCTATTGGTTATAAATAATCCAATAGCAAATGTCAAGAGATAATTACTGATATTTTTTGAAAGAAAGATCTGATAGGAGGGCATGGCAGGTGGGTTTGACTTTCTGGCTTACATCTCCATAAAAGAAGAAGATTGGAGGCTATTGAATTAGATTATGTCTTAGCAATATCTATAATATCAATGTTAAATTTCTGTTAAACTTGGGACATCATATAAGGTTAGTAAGAATATCTAAAATCAAAAATTCTGAGCAAACAAGTACGCCGTGATACAGAAGTGAAGATTGAGAATTTATTTAAATACTTTCTTTTGAAATTAAGAAATCAATTCTTATATGATATTAAAATTTGATTAACTAACTTTTTTGGTGCCAAGTTTATTGATATATGTTGAAAATAAAGTAGTTTAACCAAACTTCGAATGTAACTCTACAAAAGGTCATGTACACGTTGATCCTCATCTGTGCACGTACAATTAACATCATTTAGAGCATTTTTAACCATTTCTTTGCATTTACAGATTTTAATTATCATGCCATAGCTATGTATATTTGTTATTGAAGTTAAACTTTTACAAAGATATTTAGAAACATAACTTCATCATATCTAAATTCTGAAAAGAAAATCATTAGAAAAATATACAATAAAAGTCTGATCAAATTTTAATATAATCTTTTATGGCTAGTCCAGCACAATGTTTCCTTAGAGTATTAATAAATTCAAAAATTTTTTGGCTGTTAATTATACCTTAAAAACAATCATTATGAAAGTTTTACTGATATAAAACACTGTACAGATTAATAAGCCTGAACTAAGAAAAAACTATGGGATTGCATTAATTCACCACAGTTCAATCAAATATTGAACCTTATGTGAAGATGTGAAAACTCTGACCACGACTGACTGAAACCAATGAATTCTTCTTGATTTAATTCAGTTCAGTCCTAACTTATTTCTTTCAACGATTCTAAAATTTAATTACACAGTATTATCATGTAATATCACTCAGTTTTTCAAAATGTTAAGAAGACTTTGTTATATTTATGACAATAAAACAGCTTAAATATGCTTAACAAAGTTTATACTATGGATGTTAACCTGATTTCTAATGTTTAAATATAACCCTTTTTTTCAGAATTTTTCCATGTCAATGCATAAACCATTAACAGTTAACAAATGGCTTTCTTTAGACAGAATGATATAGAAAGCATAAGTTAGTTTTATTAAATTGTATTAGATATTTCTTAATAGGTCTGAACAAACATTTTAAAATGCAGTAATAAAATCACAGTGAACAAGCCTGAAATTGTGTGATAACATCTCACCTCTATCTCTAGGTGTGAAGCTGTGTGTTAAGCACAAGCCCAGTTGTCTTCTTTTTGCCTCACTCAGTATATCAATAACCAGAGTAGCAAACTCTCGTGCATTAAACTTAGCTAGCTTCTGTCTGCCCTGTAAAAAAGTAGAGAGGTTTTTATATGAAGAAAAACGATATAAAAAACTTGTATTATCAAGCCAACCCTAATGGATGACAGGCTATTACCCAACAAAAATTAAACACAAATGCACATGTACTTTCATCATAAAATTTATATTTCATGTCTACTTTATTTAATAAAAAATAAAATATTACATGATATACCACCAAAACAAACATATGATCTGAGTTTAAAGTTTAATGTTACATGACACTGTCTAATGATCATTAAAAATTGACAAAGTGAAAGTATATTAAAGTCTAATATTGAAGATAGTAAAGTGAGTACATAAAAAATCAAAATTGTATGTGATGCATATGTGATGTGAATTTTAAAGGACAAGTAGAAAACATTCCCACACTGATATATCTGATGTAACAAGATGGTGTATAATAATAATAATAAATTTGAGAGTGCAATACATGTGTGGCTGTCAACCTCTAATACTCATGAATGTGTGAGAAAATTAAAAAGCAAAGCCCCCCACCTGAAAACAAATTTCGCATTTTTAGAGTTTACGTTAAAGTAGAGTTTACGTAGAGTTAATGTGTCTTTCAACATCACACATTCCTTACAGCTTGCAGCTAGCTAAATGGTTACACACTGTGTATTGAAAATAATTCTTACTGGACAGTTCAGGCACGATGCACAGGTACTTCTTTGTCCATTCTGGATTGAACATAGTATTATACTTTGCAGCACCTTGATATTTTGTCAATTTGGTTTGTTTTGATGTTGATAGACGATAAGATTGACAACAAATGGCACACGTTGATTATATGTGATAGCTCCTTTCATTGGTTAACAGGTAAACAAAAAACCAATCACCCAATGCAATACATATGTGCAGCAACTATCTATTTCAGACTCGCCCTTTATCCTAGCTATCCATCACGCATACTTGAAGTAAAGAACTAAAACTATTCTAACAGTTCTGATAACAACATGTTTAATATTATATGATGAAAAAAAAGGAAATTAAACACTGATAATTGTGAGATTTTAGCAGCCAGTAAAGTCCATATGGAAAATGTTCCCTCGCTGATAGATCTAGAAGACATTCACTGACATTGTGGCACGTTAAACCATAATCTACAAGACATTTTTTACAAATGGCCAAAAAAGCACAAGTTCATAATATTCAAACTTGGTCCTAGGTATTTTGGCATTTACATACCGATGACAGAATTGCTAAACACACTGAAAGTATATTTTTCTTTGTTCTGAGATAAAAAAATTCCAATTTTCCAGTCCTATTTTGAATAGTCTGGAAGAATAAGTGTTATACACATTTCAGTATGGAAGCAAAAACAAAAGAATGTCTTACTTGATTTCTGGTGGAGGAGAATTCTGGATAAACGGGTAGAAAACGCACAATTTGTCGATCGGTTACTAAGGCACTGTAGTTCTGAGTCGACAACCAAACTACAGAGATGAGAACATTTGAATACACTTAAACACATACAGCTTTTCTTCAGTCACAAAAGAAATCATTTCTACTAAGTACCAACAATGTGACTTTTGAAATGGCAAGTGATAATAGGAACTGTCATTCTGATACTTTCTTTCAGTCCATTTTATATTTAGGTATAAACTACTTTTCAAAGATAACTGTCAAACCTAAGCCTTATGACTTACTATAACACAATGAAGCTAAAACCTAAAGATCTAACCATATTTACTGCGATCAAAACATCTGTATTTTAGAGTATTCAATTTCAATAGTAGTAGTCCAAAGAAAAAAGTCTCCAACAGATTTGACTACTTTCTCCATGCTTCTGATGGTGGAACCACCTTTTGAAAGCACAGCTTTTTGAGCCCTTTTCTGGAATTGCCAAAACTATTCTTACTTGTACCCATTTGAGCATCACTAATCACATGCATTAAAGCTTCCGTATAGCTGCAAAGAAGTCTTGTCAAAAAAAAGGGAATTATACATATACCATCCAGTTAACTTGCAATACAGAAAAACTTCCTAATCTTTAAGCAAAGCCATAAAAACATATTTAATAATGAGGTAAGCTGAATTAGAAGTGTGTTTATATTTATGTGTAGATTTTAGAGTCATAGCAACTTTCTTATTAACTTTCTCACTACAGGCTCGGTCCCACAGACCAACCTTGTAACCATTTTGTGCTTTTTTATAGTTTTTATGCTATAACTTTCAAAACAGTACGCATATCTTCAGAAAGTTTTGCAGATTATAAGTAAACATAACAAGGATTTCATCTAAAAAATACCATATCTTTTTTTAACAAGTTTTAAGATTTGTTTTAGGTAATGATTTGCTCATGCATTTTTTTCTTTTTGAATGTTGACTGTCCAACATGGAGAGTAATTTTTATTTTAAGATTAAAAATATTTTTATGCATCAGAAAATTTTCAAATTTCACATGTGAAATCTTTATAACCTCCAGATAATTATCAAATGTTTTTATTTATAAAAAACTT